GCGGGCAGTACGCGCCCACTACCCGCTCTCGCGCTTTGGCGGCTCGGCGCAGGCGGCCTTCGTCCAGGCGGATGCCGACGCGTACGTGCTCTGCCCGCAGACTGAGGCGGCGAGGATGGCCGTCGCCGCAGGCGTGGCGGTGTGGCACTACGAGTTCTCCCACTTCATGCCGTCGCCGACCGCGCCGGGCGGCGGCTGTGACAACGGCGTCGAGCTCGACGTTGTCGAGGCTGGCGCGTCGGCGACGTGGGCCACGCACGGCGCCGAGGTGCGGTACGTCTTCGGGTCGGAGCAGAACCACGACACCCTGTCTGGTCGCCCGCGCATCGCCGACTGCCCCTTCTCGCCGGCCGAGAGGAGGCTCTCCGACGAGATCGGAGCCTACTGGGCGGGCTTGGCGAGGGAGGGCGACCCCAACAGCGGAGGGGGCGCCGGCGGAGGCCGCGCCTGGTGGCCGGCGTACGGTGCTGGGGCGAACTGGACGTCGCTCGTGCTGGGTGTGGGCGGCGGTGTGGCCAGAGCGCAGCTGCACGGCAGCGCGTGCAACTTTTGGACGCAGCTAGGGGGGGAGAGCACTTGGAGCACTTGGAGTGCAGTCATCAACCGCACATCCAGGAGAGATCAGGCTAGTGCCATTTCACTCTGACACGCTAATCTTGAAAACGTCTCCAACGGAGCTCCGTGTTGCATCCAGCGCCCTCCCCCGCGCTCCCTGCGGCCATGGCCGATGATCCTAGTATGAGAGGTCATCTGGCTACCGCGAGAGCGACCCAACTCGTCGACATCGTCCGATGATGGTGCCGCAAAGTCAGCCTTCGGAGGCTATCGTGGGGTCGAGCCGGCAGTAGCCGTGACATGTGGTTCCACCACCCCTCGTAGGCTTTGCCTCTGATCGCCACCGTTCCCAGGCTGCCTAACGGGATGGAAAGGAAGGCTCGGCGAGCGTATAGAAGCGTGCTCGACGTGGCAGCCTGCACGGCAGCGCTGGCGGGCGCGATGAGCGTCGTGCCACCTGACCCGAGACGGGTCGCAGGCGTCGTACTGAGCGCGTCGAGACCGTGTCCTGATGTGATCTGCACGGGTAAATCACGTCGGCGTCAAAGGAGCGACGTGCGACCTGTCAGAGCTTGATCTCCGATCTCAGCGGCGTCGAGTCGTCTCCGGCGCGCGACAAAGGTACATCCACAGGACGCGCAGA